GTATAGTTAGGTATCACAATTCACAACTCTCCAAAAGTCATGTTTTCATAAATGCGCACGTCGTCAAACTTTTATTGGCTGATTTTCATGAAAACTCGCACGATTATGATTCTATATATGTATATATAATAATTGTTTAATATTGTGCCCCTAGAGAGCGCTATCATTCTTTTCTTAGCTACATTTTTTTTGTCAAATAATATTGTTCATTGTGTTATGTACTCAACTATGACAAAAGATTTTTGCTTTTAAAAAACTTTATAGCAAAAATAAATCATACATTTTTACATATTTTTACTATTATATCTTACTTTTATAATGCTAACATTTATACAATGAAATGTTATCATTCTTTGATAAAAGTTAATATGAAACAGTACATATTAATATAACATTATTATAACAATATTAATAAATTAAATATTATTTTTTTCCATGGTAATTGTTCAACGAATTTTTTTCTTGTACTCCATTGCTAAAACATTTAAAATTATTTAAATGTCTTTTTAGACATATAAATATTACATATTTATTTTTATGCTTACCTTGTCTTTCTTCCAGAATTTCTTTTCTCCTTTCTTTGAATTGAATAGGTAAATTTTTTAACATACTTTCAATAAAATTATCTAAAACTATTGATCTATTCATTGATGATACTGATGCCCTACATATTGGACATTCCTTTCTTTTTTTATTCCATACATTTATACAATGTTGACAAAATGTATGCATACAATTTAATGTTGTTGCTTTTACAAATAATTCTGAACATATTGTGCAAGTTAATTGTTCATCCATTATATCATTAATTTTATTAAGCACACTTTCTTTTTCATCAATTTTAGAAACAACTTGAGTAGGAATTGTTAAATCTATTGTATCTATAATTTGAAATTCTGAAGGATTTTTTGTTTCTAAAAATATACAACTATCATTTGAATTATCAGAAGTCCCTGCAACTATACATGAAAGAACATAATTAATTTATTATAAATAAAATATTTAATATCTTGTAATATTGATATATGTATGAAAAAATATATACCATTATTTATTGTTTCTATTTTAGCTTGTTCTTTTAGAGCTTTTTCTGTTTTTTTTAATTTTTCTTCTAAAATTATTTTTTCATTTAACAATTGGGCTTGTATATTTTTTTCTTCTTTAACTCTGTTTTCCATAACATTTTTCCATTTAGTTTGTTGCTCTTCTCTCCATTTTTCCATTTGTTCTTTCATTTTTAGTTCTAACATTTCTTTCTCAAGTTTACTCACATTTAAAGCTTCTTGCCATTTTTGTTTTTCTTCATTCAATTTTTTTTCAAATTCTATTCGTTCATTTTCTAATTTTTCTAACAAATCAGTATACATATTTTGCAAATACTGTTCTTGAACATTACCATGTTTTATTTTATTTTCTAATAATATAATTTGATGCTTCAAATCTTTAGTATCTTCTTTTGTAACATTTTGTTGTCTTAAAAGTTGTTTTAATTGCTGTTTTAATTTCTCTTGTTGCTTTTGTTTTATTTGTAGTTTGTTTTTAAGAATATTTTTTTGACATTCTTGATCTTGTGCAAATGTTTTTTGTTCTATAAAAACATTATCTAATATGTTTTCATCTATCTTAGGTTTTTTAACTTTGTATTCATCTTTAAAATCAAGAATAAATATATATTTAAATTTTTCAGATGCACTAAATTGTATGATATCTCCATCATAAATTTTTTGACTCATACCAAATGTTAGAGGAATATCATTAACAAATGTAACAGAAGAACTTAAATCTTTGATCGTCCACTCTTCATTTTCTTCATATCTTAAAATACAATGTTTTCTAGATATCATTGCATCCAAAATAATTTCATCATTATCTCTTGCACGACCTATTTTAAACTGTTTAAAATTTAAAGAAAATTTTATTAAGAAAAATTGATTAAAAAGGCACTAGATAAAATGTTTATATTTTTTAATACCTCATTTTTATCAATGTGAATGTTATGAGGAGCACAACCATGCTTATTAATTCTCACTAAACTAGGTTCCACTAATTTTTCCTCTGAGTCGTCAAGTTTTATTCTTTTTTCCGCTTTCGAACCTTCCATTATTTAAAATTACTCTTTTGTGAAAGAAAAAATTAAAAAAAAACATTGAATAATGTACATTCTTTTTCAATTATATTATTTTTTTTTATTAATTATTATAAATATATAAAAATAGTAAACAAAAATATTAAATCATACAAGAACGCATTCAAAATTCTCCATCGAATTTCTCGTCAATATGAAGATAGAAAATAAACTGTCGATAAACATATGTAAACGACATCTTGCGGCATATTTTATATATAACATCAAAGATATATTATATCTCTAAAAAAGATTTTAAAAATAAAAT